GTACCTTTGCCCGCTGCCTGAGTTTTGCATCCACAGCTGCTTCAACTTCTCTGCCAACTTCCAAAACCCCCTCTCTTATAGTCCCCTTATGAACAAATATGTCACCTAGGGATTTTTGGACATCCTTGATCTCAACAACAGCTGTCTGTTGGTTTTCACCTCCAGTAACATATAGAAAACCATTATCTCCGATTTGACCACCTGATTCAGCATAAAATGGTGTTCTATTCAGCAAAACCTCTACATCATTTCCTTCAGAAACCTGTACAACTGGACTTCCATTCACCATGAGGCTTTCCACTACTGCTCGAGTGGAAAGGCTGTCATATCCTACAAATTCGGTTTCATCTATATTTCTTGTAAGACTAGCACCATCTTCAGCCTCAAGTTTAACAACATTATGAGCAGCCCGAGATAGACACCTTTGGTTTTCCATCTCTTGATCAAAACCATTCATATCTACAGTAACACCATGTTCTTCAGCAATTTCTGTTGTTAACTCCACTGGAAATCCAAAAGTGTCATATAGAAGAAATGTGTCTTTTCCAGACAAGCAAGGCATAGTCCCACTTTTCTGAACATTTGATAATGCATCTGCTAGCATTTTTTCCAGTAAGATTTCTCCTCTCTCTAGAGTTCGCACAAATTGAAGCTCTTCCTTCTTCAGCTCCTCAAGAATACGGGGTGCTTTAATCTTGACATCTGAATCAATATGGGTACTTAATTCTACTACTTTTTCTGCAATTGCTGGTAAAAATGCTCCTTCAAGATTTTCTTTTACTTCCCCCTTTATACCAAGGGACCTGCCAGCACGAACAACCCTTCTTATAAGTCGTCGAACCACATAACCTCTTCCAATATTTGATGGCAAAACACCATCGGATACGAGATATACTATTGCACGTAGATGATCTCCTACAACCTGAAAACAGTAAAAAACTTCAAATAATGAGACATATCTATTAAATAGAGTAAGAAACTTTATTTGCCAAACCAAGTATCTTAATGATAGTACAGGCTGTTACGTACAAATCGAAAAATGTACCTTCAATTTCAATTTTGTTTGCTCATCTGCCAAGGCATATGAGATATTTGCCAGTTCTGATGCCTTTTCTATAATTGGATAAATCAAGTCAGTTTCATAGTTGTTTGGAACCTGCAATAAAAAAGAATAAAATATGACTTTTAATCCTTCAAAGCACATGACCTTGCAAATGATACTAATAGGATATGCCTTAAGTGAAATATTAATTTTACTTTGACATGAGAAAGAAAAGATCATGGTTACCTTTTGAAGGATGCAAGCCATACGCTCCAAGCCAAGACCAGTATCAATGTTCTTTTGTTTTAGGGGCTCAAGTGTTCCATCGTCCTTTTTATTATATTCCATGAAAACCAGATTGTAAAACTCTATAAACCTTGTATCATCCCCAAGATCCTGCAAGTTACTCACCCAGGTTAAGAAAAAGGAACTGGAATTCAGAACCTATGAGTTAAAACCTCCCTTATGCCCAAACAACTTCTGAAAAACCCCCTTCCCTAATGAAAGATTAAAAAAAATTCTGAAGTGAGTAAGTACCACATCTACATATCCCCTCTGAGGATGGAAATCATAGTAAATCTCAGAGCATGGGCCACACGGACCAGTAGCACCACTCATCCAAAAGTTGTCATCTTCACCCATTCTTTTTATGCGTTCAACAGGAACACCCACCTGATGCAAACTTGCAACATTAAAATCATTTTAAATAACCATGAGGTAATAGAAGAAAAACAATCATGAAAAAGACACCAAACTCAATGGACGAGCCACATTGACCAAACAAGGGAACTGCAAACGTAGAGCACATCTACAAGGGGAACATACATGATGCAAAAATCTAAGTGTAAAGCGCAGCCCAGATTACCTCATTGTGCCATATTTCAAAAGCTTCATCATCATCTTCATACACACTTATCCATAATCTCTCAGGTGGCAACCCAAATCTGTAAGCTCAAACAACCTTCATTTTGGCATGGAAGAAATGGATGTCTATGAAGGAATCATCATGCTTAATAAATATAATGAATCAATCAATCTTAAATTTGCATCCAAAAAGCAATACTAAATTCATGCTTACTCCACGGTGGAAAGCTCCCATGACCATTGGATTGCTTCCTTCTTAAAGTAATCTCCAAAGGAGAAATTGCCTAGCATTTCGAAAAATGTATGATGCCTTGCCGTTCTGCCAACATTCTCCACATCATTTGTACGTATACACCTTTGTGAAGTAGTAGCACGAGGTACTTGTCTGGGAATCTAAACATACAGAGCTAGTTTAATCACACCAAGCTTTAACAATCAAACTAAACGAATAATGTCTAAATTTACCTTTAACACATTAATTTAACTGTCATCTTTGGCATTTAGCTGGTGTTATTTGTCAATGACTATGCCTTTTAAAAGCATGATCAATTACTATGCTTCAAGCCACAAATAATAATTAAAAAAGCACATCGAAGTTCAGGCTTTTCACAATATTTGAAGGACTCTTTAGAAAAGTTTCATGACATTACAATCATAGTGACATATACACCTATAACTGACAATGTTACATAAAAGCAGTGTAATTTTAACAAGTATTATGAAGTTTATAAGGCAAAGATTTGTCATCATTTTCATTGCTAGAGTAAAGGTGCAGTTAGTGGATGTGCTTTTGGAGTTTTGTCCTGTTTGACTAGAAATATTAGCAAAACTCACAATAGATTCATGAAGAATCTTAGCCATACTTTTCCAAGGAATATAGGCTTGAAGGGAAGCATTCCTGCAATTGTCAGTAGGACTGTTGGGTCATCTGGCACAAGAGAAGCACTAGGAATGATCTTGTGACCACGGGAAGCATAAAAATCAAGAAATCGTCGGCGTATAGAATCCCCACTGACAAGGGAATCCTTTGACTGATCTTCCATCAATTCCGCTGTGACAGGCTGTACCGATGCTGAAAAGTCACATGGTAAGTACTATATCCACTGATAATGAAGCTACAGTGTGACTAGCAGAATACATAATTAACTATAGCAACCTGATTTAGTTTTTGACTGATTGCCCCATGCTCCTCTCAAATAACTATTGCTACACACCAAGATGCCAGGAGAGAAAAGGGCCAAGGTTCTTGTAAGAAAGCCTGCGTTTACATGCACACAAATATCTAGGCATTAGTGCATAAGCCTAAAACATAATCAATGCCTCACTTAGGAAAAAGAAAATCAATGGAAGATTACAATTATATATGTAAAAGTAGATTTTAAGAAATCAAGCAAATAAAGTTGCCAAGATTATATAAAAACTCAAAAAAATTTATACAAATTGTACTTATTAGCTAGATTTTATTTGCTACTTATTTGCTACTTAATTATGGAACATTTCACTGATTCTTAAACCAAAATAATTGGGAAGAAGAGACAATGAGAACCCAATATCGACTGCGACATGATAACAAAGAATCCAGAGCTCTCAAATTGAAAAATCATGTAGTTGAAGGACCCCAAAATACTAAAAAATCCATAAGAAAAAAGAGAAAAATCTCAATAATGCATACAATGAACCAATTAAAGGCTATTTTATGGACTAAACCAACCAAATAAGGAAAAGAACAAGTGGGTTTGAATGAGTTATCTCCCTGCTTAAACTCAAATTCTTGTTCAAACCGAAAGCAACGACCCAGAAACAAACACCTTGTGAACTAGACAATGTAAAGCTAAGTTGAACTAAATAGCAAGCAATTTCACTATCCAAATAACATGGGTTTGCAACTAATAAGATTAACTACAGCTTAACGTTCAAGAATTTGCATAAAAAACTAAACTTGGTAAATTTATTTTCTAATCATGAACCATAAAAAGAACAATAATGCAAAAGCCAAATTAAAATAATGGAGAGAACCCAACAATTAACCAATTTTACTCACATGAGTCTTGACTAATGAGGTAAAATATAGTTCAAAGCACTGTACTTTAAGTAAAATTGTTTGTAGAATTGGGAACTATAAAAAGAACAAGAATCGAGAACAACAAAAGAAATAAACTCTTACCATGTGAAATGGAAAAACTGTAATTAGATAGGGGTGGGGATGGTGGCTTTGGAAATATAATGGGGGAGGCGGGAAAAGGAACGAGATATTGGCGTCCATGAATGGGGCATGGAGAGTGGGCCAGTTTCACGGATGCCATGCTCTGTTTCTGGGATAACCCAATATCCTCTGTTTTTCTTCTTTTCTTTCCCCTCCCTTTTTGAAGTGGGCGTTCTAATACGTTGCTCTAAGCATGCGAGATAGGCAGTTGGGAAGATAAGCCTTTCTACACGGCCACACATTTCTTTTCTGTTTCTTCCAGGCTATGGTTTAAATAATAACAAGAAGGTGACCTTTAAACCATTGGCATATTTTCTCTTGTTAGAAATTGCTTTTTCCTTCTATGTGGCAATAAAATTAAACAACGGCACCACTTTCTCTAAAAAAAAAAAACCAACCTTAAATCTAGTAAGCATAAGCAATAAGTTTTGCTTTTGGTAGGATTACATACCGTGGTACAGAATTTCCCACGGTTAATGTTAAGAACGAAAAAGGAAAGCAAAGAGGGTCCAAGTTGTTGAGACTCGAGACTTCCCCTGTTTGGGTTCCATCCACATGTTCAAAATCGAGAGGCCTCTATACCTTTGGTACGACTCTGGAAAACTTGTAGTAGAACCTGCTGTGCCTCTAAACCACAAGACAGAAAAAACGAGGCCCCCACAAAGCTTGTTGGTGGCCGAACGCATGGAAATATAACATTTATTCCAATAGAAGTAATCACATGCTGTTGCATAGAGATTTACGACAGAAGGAAAAGCTACAAACGAAAGAATTCTAGGCTCCTGTATGCCCTGTTGTCTATAAATACCTTGCACATTGTCTCCCCTAAGCACAGAAAAAATACCCTTTTCTCGCATCCATCTCCATCCTTTGGCCACTAAGCAAACCAGCATGATTAGCACAAAGATTCTGATCAGAATGGCAAGAAAGTGGCGGAAAACTGCTGCCATTGGCAGGAAGAGGGTTAGTTCATCGAGGACTGATCGAAAGTTGGCTGGTGCCAACCGTTCTAATAAATCATCAGTGGTTGATAAAGGGCATTTTGTAATCTACACAACTGATAAGAAGCGTTTTGTGATTCCCTTGGCGTATCTTTGCAACAACATCATTCTCGAGCTCTTGAAGATGTCTGAAGAGGAGTTTGGACTGCCAAGTGATGGGCCTATAATATTGCCGTGTAGTTCAGTTGTCATGAATTACATTGTCTCCCTGGTAAAACAAGGATTAACTAAGGATTTGGAGAAAGCTGTGCTGAACTCTGTTGCAAGCTACCGCTGCTCTTCGAGTACTACTGATTTCCAACAAGGACATGCAGATCAACAGTCACTTGTTTGTGGATTCTGAGGAAATTAGTATTCAGTACTGTAAATGGTTTATGTTAAACAAAATTGAAGCTCTTGTAAATGTTGAAACCTGCTCTGTACGTATACCAGTACATGTTAAGGTGTAATATAGTCAATTTTTGTGAAATGCAATAGCAAGTTTAACGACTATAATGGTTTGGCGCCTGTCCTCTTGCTACTCTTATACTGGATGTCTCTTCACAGAGTCATGCATCAGTTTCTACAATCTTCAGAGTTAACTTTTTTAGCTTTCATACATCAATTTTTGGACTGATAACCTCGTGCATGCGCAATAGAGGTAGGTAGCAGGGGAAGTCCAAATGTTATGCATGTTGTTTAGTTCATGCCCTTGGAATTGGAAGGCATGGCCATTTCTTTAGACAGGTTAGCTATGCACCAGCAATTAAGTGGACTTTCTTCTACCCAGAATCCTTTCTTGGGTTTTACACTAAACACTGGAGACCTATCTACAACTATTATCATGAGAGATGTACTCAACGTTGCTTTAAATCATAGTGTCTGGTTCTACCAAATTATGTAGCAGGCTAGTTTTAATGAAATTTTTTACTTTTTTGAGATGGCAAGGTTTCAGAGCTCATACCTAATGCTGCTGCCACATAATTTTTTCCCCATCTTGCTATCTAATCTGATTTTCACTGGGGTTCAACTCTGTATTTCAGCACTAGGCCAGTTGCAAGTTAGTCTAATTTTATTTATCGGTATTTAACGGTTAAAATGACGCACCTTGAAATGCAAGGGGGAGAAACAAGGATCTAACATAACATGCCCCGACTATGCTTATTGAGGAACACTGGGCACGGTATAACCAAATTTGATAGAGACAGAGCAAACTAAGGGACAAAGCAGAGAACTTCTCAATGCTTTACTTTTTATTTTCTTGCTCTAAACTTTGTTGGCTCCACATGTATCTTTGTCTTTTAGCATTCATATTAAGCTAAATACGTATTTTAACGTAACTAATCAGTGATTTGTGTTGATAATCACATCATAATACCAACGCACATGACCTCATATAGGACTCCTATAGCTCCTGGTTGTCCTATCTCCTTTCACTGCATCATTCTTATCAATTTTCCTTTTTTAAGCATGTAAAAGATTCTCATCTTCTTCCATAACGATCTTATTGAAAGTAAAAGGTTGATTACTTCTAAAAAGCATCAAATTGACTTGGTTTCAGCTGGCATTTTAGCATTTTAGGTGGTTCCCACTTGTTAAGATGTCCTCTTTAGTTTATATCATCTATTTTCATTGTTGTTAGAATGAAATTTATAACTATGCAGAACCAGTAGCATCTTCTGCGTCCTTAAGCCACAAGACAGAAAAGGGGGATCTCCACCAAGGCAGTACGTTGGGCGCCAAACATGTGAAAATATGTCCATGCAAGCATCTATTTCAAAATAGAAGTAATCCCATGCTTTTGCTTAGAGATTCACTCCAGAAAGAAAAGGTACAAATCCAGTTGTTTTTGTTCTTTGTATATAAATATCAGTTCCATTGCTTCCCCTCAGCACAAATTACCATTTCTCAATCTTGCTTGAAGTCATAAATCCACTAATCTCAAAGCAAGCAACATGATCAGCACAAAGAAGCTTACCAGAATGGTGAGAAATTGGCAGAAACATGATGGCTAGTAAGAAACCATCAGTGGTTGATAAAGGCCATTTTGCTATCTACACAACAGATAAAAGGCTTTTTGCAATACCCCTGCCGTATCTCAGCAACAGCATCTTCCTTGAACTCTTGAAGATGTCTGAAGAGGAGTTTGGACTGTCCAGTGATGGGCCCATAACATTGCCATGTGATTCAGTTGTCATGAATTAAATAATCTTGCTCATCCAACGAGGTTTAGCTAAGGATTTAGAGAAAGCTGTGCTCAATTCCCTTAATTACTATGGCTGTTTGTCATATAGTACAACTTTTTCCAATGAAGGACATGCAAATCAACAGTCACCTGTTTGTGGATTCTAATATATATATATATATATAACCCTAGTTTCATTTCCCTCAACCCACCAAAGCTGTGTGTCAGTATCCTAAGAAGATCTAAACGCCTTCTCCTTCTCTAAATTCCATATTGAAATCTTTCGTTTCAGAGAAATAACAAGATGATCAATGCCAAGAAGCTCATCAAATTGGCTAGGAAATGGCAGAAGCTTGCTGCCATCAAGCAAAAGAAGATAGCATTGCCTAGGATGTCTCAAGATGTTGGCACAAATGATTGCAGCACATCATCAATCCTTGAGAAAGGTCATTTTGTGGTGTATAGTCCAGATCAGAAACGCTTCATGCTTCCTCTAGAATACCTTAAGAAGGAAATTGTCAGACAGTTATTCAAACTGACAGAAGAAGAGTTTGGAGTTCCAAGCAATGGACCTCTAACACTACCTTGTGATGCAGTCTTTTTGCACTATGTAATTTCTTTGATCAAACTGCACCTGACTGAAGATGTAGAAAAAGCATTGCTCACATCCCTAGCCAATGGCCATTGCTCATCATCTTCATGTCGAAACCAAGAATCAAGAAATCAACCATCATTAATTTGCAGCTTCTAAAGCAAATTGTAGTCAAATTTTGTAATGATACACTATTTTACACTGATTCTACAAGGAAAAGGAATTAATTCTCCCCATATTTGTTTATCTTTGAGAATCTGTTGACAGTATATTGTTGCTTACAAAAAATGACGTATGGCATCCAACAAATTCAGCACTTCACATTTCTTCTGACTAAAGTTTAATAAGACCACAGCAATTTATCTTCAAGTTAAATATATTCAGGCTATCTTATATAATATGCTCCACCAATTTCTTATGCCCAAGAGGATGATATAAGAAGCTGTGCAAATATGAAGATTAAAGATCAACAACTAATTAGTTGGTCATTACCTTTTTTCTGTAACACAGATTCAGAGGCCTATAGATATCCCGCATCTACTTAGTGATGGAGCTAGCCTTTTTGTGCAAATTTTGAAACTGTCTAGGAGAATGAAGAAGTTTGCAGGCTATGGACTGACTGATAAAATTTGTTTTTACACCTCACAGACAAGGATGGTAACAAACACATCTAAACAGCAACAAATCTTAACACTTGCTGTCATCTCAGATATTCCCATTCCAGAAATAATCTCCTTGACCATATGGATCAGCCGATCACGGTTTATTTCATATAAAATAACAGGACCACTTGGCCACACAAACCCTCTTTGCATTCAAGCTCCATATGCTAATAGCAAAGTGAAACTAATAGGACTGATCAACACATCAGATATTCTCTCTCCTACCGTTACATGGTTTGGCATCCCTCAAATCTGCATTGAGAACTACATGGAATAGATTTGCCCACATGGACAAGTGACAGGAAGGTCATGAAACTGTGTGGGTGAGAGAGAGAGAGAGAGAGAGAGAAAAGAGACAGGTGGCAATTTGCTTGAGAGAAGATTTCTTGCTACTGTTCAGAATAGTGAATCTCATCTAAACAGGATCCTAAATGTCTGCTGGAGCTGTGATCAACTGATTATGAGTCAATGTAATTGCAATACTGGACCATATTGTTGTTAAACCACTTAGCAGCTAGATAAAGATGTGTCTGCATGAATCATCCAAAAAAAGCAAACATGCCACCTTGCAGATTACTCCTCATAACTGCCCATCACATGGCTTTGTTTCCAATGAATACTGCATTCTACTAATTCATTGAAGGGACTATCTCTGGCCTTGTGATTATATATACATCCCTTCCATTGCCTCATATCCAGCACAACCCACTGCATTCGAAATCAAAGTTCTAAGACCCAAAAAAAAAAAAACTTCCTCTTTTTCTTTCATCTCAAAGTCTTTCCTACTAAAGTTAGTGTAAAGAAAGATGATCAATGCTAAGAAGCTTAACCAATTAGCAAGGAAATGGAAAAAAATGGCTGCAATTAGGAGAAAAAGAATTACATTTCCAAAAACTACTGAGGATGCTGACACCAACAGATGCAGCACGTCATCAGTGGTAGAGAAGGGTCACTTCGTTGTATATAGTGCAGATCAGAAGCGCTTTGTGCTCCCTTTGGAGTATCTCCAGAACGAAATTGTCATGAAACTATTCAACATGGCAGAAGAAGTGTTCGGACTACCGGGCAATGGGCTTCTCATGTTGCCTTGTGATGCAACCTTTATGGAATATATTATTGCTTTGCTCAAAAGGGAACCAAGTAAAGATGTGGAGAAAGCATTGCTCCTATCTGTAGCCAGTTGCCGTTGCTCATCGTCATATCTTTATCAGCAAGAAACAAGCCAGCAGTTGCCAATATGGAGCTTCTGAATCAATTTTTCTTTTCAATTTGTAATTGATCCACATCACCGCAGATCGAATTATATAATGGGAAACGCAAGGATTTTTGTTTCTCATGTTTAATTGTCTAGAGTCTTGACAGCAGTTCTTATCATACAATATTATGTCAACAATTTGACATAAGCAAAGTGACCCTTTGAATTGTTTAGTCTTATTTTCACATTAGCAAGACACAAACCCCTGAAATCATCAAATGAAAGCCAAACTGGTTTAGCTTCCAAATTGGGTTGGACTCACCTCATCTAGTCATCTTTGGGTAGATAGTTTGGAATTCTTTAATTTATTTTTTTTTTCAGAGACCAGATAGTTTGGAACTAAAGCATTAAGATTTGGGTTTTCTCAGGGCTGAATAGAATTATAACTAGTTGTTTCAGAGAAAGGAGAACACACCCAAGAATATACAGGAACTCACATATCTATCTGCCATGTATAGTATTTTTTTTTTCTCAATAGAAGATAATTAAACTCTCCTTTTACTCCCCCTAGAAGCCGCATTGTTAAACTTCCTTGACCATTTTGATGAGCTTCTTCAAATTTCACAGGCTCAAGCTGTTATCATTCCATTACTTTGTTTATAACTCAACTTGTCGAAGCCTAGCTAGTTGCATAAAGATATCATCTCAGGTCACCTAGTAGATATCTTCTGATGTCTAACCAATTACAGTATTTATCCGGTAAAAGCCGCTGAATTTGTAAAGGAAGGACAAATTTTAAGCCTATTATATGTGCATGGAACGTGTACAAATATTCAGTGCTATCGACCATGCTATTGAAATATTAAATACATAATTACTGAAATATGACATAATTTTGTAACTTTTTCAATAATCTCGATGTGTAAAATCAATGACACAAGAAAGCCATTGAATTTGTACAAGAGGACACATAGTTGTAATTGAGCAGGACGTACCGTACACAGAAACTTAAGTACTTACTATTATGTTAGAACATCGAATTGGAGAATACCAAAATAGTTTCAAGCCATATAACGGTGTCATTGTAGTGTGTAAAAGAGTTACAGATGATAAATCTCAAGGATACAATGAAAAACCTAGTGATTGACTGCGTTCTGCATTAACGAAGTCGATACACTAAGCATTCACTGATGAACAACAAGATTATCTAGTCTTCTATATAATTTTCTAGAGTAAAATGATACAGAAGAAAATGAGAAGAAGTCTAAAAAGAAAAGAGAGAGTGTTTAAATAAACCCCTAAACTATATCAAAAAATCAATTTAGCCCCTATCCTTTTATTGTGTTCAAATAAATTTTTAAATTTTTATTTCGAATCAAATAAGCCCCTCAACAGTACATATGACACTTTTATAAACCCTCAACGGTACATATAACTGAACCACTTCCTTTACCTTCCAGACATGCCCAACTAGCTACCTCCTCAAATGATAGCTCAATTTTTCAAGCCACATGGTTTTGCTTCCCTTTGAGTCCCTACGTTGAGTTGCTTCATTCAAAGTACTTTTGGATTTGTGTATATATATCATCCGATTTCCATTTTCCATCACCGCAGCACAACAAAAGCTTTTCAGTTTCCTAAGATATTAAAGTCTCTTCCTTCTCTTGTCCTAAAATATTCTAGCTCCCTTGTTTTAGAAAAGTGACAAGATGGTTAGTGCTAAGAAGCTTATCACGTTGGCAAAAACTGGCAGCAATTAAGAGGACAACAATCACGTTTTCAAGAGCCACCGGGGATGATGACAAAAATAGTTGCAGCACATCATCAATGGTCGAGAAGGGCCACTTTGCGGTGTATAGTGCTGATGAGAAGCGCTTTGTGCTTCCCTTGGAATATTTGAAGAACGAAATTGTCATGGAGTTGTTCAATTTGGCAGAAGAGGAGTTAGGACTACCTAGCAACGGAAACCTCACCCTGCCTTGTGATGCAGCCTTTATGGAATATGTAATTCGGTTGATAAAAAGGAAAGCAAGTAAAGAACTGGAGAAAGCATTGCTCATGTCTGTATTGAGTGACCGTTGCTCATCGTCATTGTATCTCTATCAGCAAGAAACAAGCCAACAGTTTCCAGTAGGAAGTTTCTAAAGCAAAATATGTTTTCAATTTTGTAAACGATGTACATTAAGATATATAATGAGCAAACTTCAGATTTTGATTCATGTTTAGCTGTCTGCCCAGCCATGGCAATTATCCTTTTGTTTTTACACTGCAACGTCAACAATACTGTCCTACATATTCACTGCACAAGAAAAAAGAAAAAAGGTAAACCCACCACTGGCAAATAAACATCAGAATTAAAACCAACACGAGTCCGTGGTTGGGCCTTTTCTGAGAAAACCCAAGACTCAAATCCATTTGGGAAGTATGGATGCAGAAATTAATTGATTTTTATAAACTGGGTTTCTTGTCAAAAACAAAGAACATACTTCAGAAATAGCATACCACCACTACACGGCAAATCCTATTGACCTTTGTTCTCAACCCGAAGTTCAGATAAGTTTTAGCCTTTTGGTTGAAAGCCTGTGCTTCTGTATATTTTAAAATATTTTGGTTGACTGCCTGAAATTTCTTTGGTTCGTAAAACTTCAATCCATCATGATTTAGGGTTTTTTTTTCTTTCTGCTTAGCCATGGATGATTATGCTATCAACGTCTGTCACGACGTGCCCTTTGTTTGAAACGAGGTACTTCATCTCCCATGGCAGGTGCATCCTGGAGAGTTCCTTGTCAACATGGTGCAATTCGCAGATATTATCCATCAAATTTGACCCCAATATTTGTAGACTAGAATGATCAGCGGGACCTTATCTTGCAAATGGATTATGACCCAAAAGCATGACAGCCTTTTGCGGAATCCTGTTACGACAATTACAGCTGCAGCAGGCTTTTGTTAAACCCCAACTTTTTCTTGTTAGGTACAGTCCATATGGTACATGTTGGTACCAATATGTCTGATCTTGCACTTGCCCCAAATCTGTAAAAGTTGTACAATGCATTTAACGTTCAAAAAAGGACTCATAGCATCTCTCAAACTACATGCAGAGAAAAAAATTGACGATTGACTAATGGGAGCCAAGGCTGCCAATTATGGCCACCACCCAGACCTCAACTCATTGAATTATCACGTGATTATGCACAAATGAAGCCAACGCAGGGTAACCTACTTTTAAGAAAGCGTCCCCAAGAGGTGTTGTTCACATACAAGTAAACCAGTTCCATGACCTTCCAGGCATGCCCATCTCCCAATTAACTACAATCATTTCGGTCACATGGTTTTGCTTCCCACCTAACCATACATAGGTGGCCTCATCAACAGGACTGTCTTTGGCTCTGTAATCATATATTCATCCAACTCTCATTGCCAACTACGTAACGCAGCAACAGCCTTCAGATTCCTACTATCTCAAAGTCTCTCCTCCTTTGTTTTACAATCTTCTCTCTGTTTTTATCCGTAACAGGATGATCAGTGCTAAGAAGCTCATCAAATTGGCAAGGAAATGGCAGAAACTGGCTGCTGTGAAGCAAAAAAGGATCACATCGTGCGAGACGACCCTTGGAAATGCTGGCACAAATAGATGCAGCACATCATCAATGGTTGTGAAAGGTCATTTTGTGGTGTATAGTGCTGATCAGAGGCGCTTTGTTCTTCCTTTGGAATATCTGAAGAATGAAATTGTGAGAGAGCTATTCTCGCTGGCTGAAGAAGAATTTGGGCTACCAAGCAATGGGCCTCTCATGTTGCCTTGTGATGCAGCTTTTATGGAATATGTAATTTCTTTGATAAACCGACATGCAACTAAAGATATAAAGAAAGCATTGCTCACGTCCATTGCCAGTGGTCGCTGCTCATCATCTTCGTATTATCATCAACAAGCAACAAATCAACAATTACTAATCAGCAACTTCTAGAGCAAAATGTGTTTCAATTTTGTAACTAGACGATACTCTGTACAATTGAGAGGCTAACTTCAGGCTAATGAAAATTTGAGTTTTATTTTAATTGGATAATATTCAAATAAATTCTTGAATTATAAAAAGAAAAAGTCAATTAAATTCTTTTAGTTTTATTGTGTTCATTAATACCCTTACTTTTATTTTAATTTAAATAAATCATTCTCAATAATCTGTTAGGGTTTAAACAAAAATTCCTAAATGATCTTAGTGTTGGACGGTCAAATTGAAAAAAAATTGAAATAGTTTCAAAGCGTGTAACAGTATCATTATTCTTAAAAATTTTATTTGGCCTCACTAAGTTTGTGTAAAAGGATTATAGTTGATAAAGCTCAAGGATAAAAAGAAGTCCAATGATTAATTACATTTTGTATTGACGAAATCAATCCACTAAGTATCCACTGATATAAGACAAGATTACATGAACTTGTATATAATTTTTAAGTTTTGATTGTATGTGGTTATTCTACTTTTACTTTACAAAAATCACGCTTAGAAAGCAGATTTCAAGCAGTAAATTTACCTTCTTCCACTTGAGTTTATTTCATTTTCATATCTTTAAAAAAGGTTCTCCAAGATTAAAAAATTAAAATCTAAGTCGGTAATTAAAAAATCTAACCAACAATATTTTTGTACACATCATCTATCACGTAAGAGTATGATTTTCTAAAATGACATATGAAATGATAGATGATGTAACATTTATGTGAACTATAATTTTAATTAACACAAATTAGTTAATAATTAGTGAAAATGACTTATTTGATTTAAAATTAAAATACAATGGCTTAATTAAACTTAAAAAATATAAACATTTAATTGATTTTTTTTAATTCAAAGACTTATTTGAGTATTATACTATTTTTATTTAATTGTCTATTTGTCTTATTGGGATTATTTAAACAAGAAAAGCTACATTATTACAAATAAATTTGAAATTAGTCTCTATAATATGAGATTTGAATTTTACTCTAAGAGCAACAATTGTTATTCAAAATGATTTCTCATTGTCACAAAAACAGTATAGATAAATAATACAAGAGGACTAATATATAATTGAAATTGAGCAGTACGTACTGTACACATAACCTTTGGAGTCGATTATCTGGGCATGAAAAGAAATGCTACCAACAACTTTACCCCACAATTCAAAACCATCAGTACAGAAAGTTTGACGACCAGGACCTCTGCTGTTATCAATATCTCTTGGAACCATTACCAGACTGATGAATATGGAGCAGATTACGATGCCTAAAACCATAAGCCTGGAGATAGAGACGCTGCACTCTAACTAGTCTTTCATGGCAATATAATCCGGTTTCAAAAATTATATAACCCCATCAATCCAGGGTATACTTGAACCACAACCCTTTTGCTTGTTAGGTCATATATCCAGAACATGTGGGTACTACTATGCCTGGTCTTACACATGCCCATTTCGGTCAACTATGATAAATTTGATGTTGAAAAGAAGACTGAACCACTTCCATTACCTTCCAGACTTGCCCAACTGGCCACCTCCCCAAATGCATCGCTCAAATTTTCAAGCCACATGGTTTTGCTTCCATTCGAGTCCCTACATTGAGTTGCTTCACTCAAAGAACTACTTCTTTTGGATTTGTGTATATATATATATTCATCCAATTTTCATTCTCCATCACCGCAGCACAACAAAAGCTTCTCAGTTTCCTAAGATCTTAAAGTCTCTTCCTACTCTTGCCCTAAAATATTCTAGCTCCCTTGTTTTAGAAAAGTGACAAGATGATCAGTGCTAAGAAGCTTATGAAGTTGGCAAAGAAATGGCAAAAACTGGCAGCAATTAAGACGAAAACAATCACATTCTCAAGAAACACGGGGGATGAGGACACAAATAGTTGCAGCAGCACATCATCAATTGTCGAGAAGGGTCACTTTGTGGTGTATAGTGCTGATGAGAAGCGCTTTGTGCTTCCCTTGGAATATCTGAAGAACGAAATTGTTATGGAGGTGTTCAATTTGGCAGAAGAGGAGTTTGGACTACCTCGCAACGGCAACCTTACCTTGCCTTGTGATGCAGCCTTCATGGAATATGTAATTGGGTTGATCAAAAGGAAAGCAAGTAAAGAACTGGAGAAAGCATTGCTCATGTCTGTAGTGAGTGACCGTTGTTCATCGTCACCGTATCTCTATCAGCAAGAAACAAGCCAACAGTTTCCGGTACGAAGTTTCTAAAGCCTAATATGTTATCAATTTTGTAAACGATGTACATTAAGGTATATAATGAGAAGGCTCCAGATTTTGATTCATGTTTAGCTGTCTGCTCGGCCATGGCAATTATCCTTTTGTTTTTACACTGCAACATTAACAATGCTGTCCTGCATATTCACTTCACAAGAAAAAATAATAAAAATTAAACCCTCCACTGCAAATAAACATCAGAATTAATAACAACACGAGTCCGTAGTTGCACCTTTTCTGAGAATTTATACCAAGACCCAAATCCATTTGGGAAGTATGGTTGCAGCAACTAAAAAACTGAATGTAGCTGGGTCACGTGGTACGTGACCATCTTCTTATTCAAGTTAAAGTCACTCTTGCTTGGCGCCAAACTCCATGAACCAAGCTTGGTGCAGAAACAAAAACCCAAAATTTCAACAGCTTAGCCAGATATTATCCATCAAATTTGATCCCATGATCAGCGGGACCTTATTACATCCATTTAGAAACAAGAGGAACGTGAAATGGACTATGACCCAAAAGCATGACAGCCTGGAGAGAGACTTTTGGGGAATCCTGTTTCGGAAATTATAACTGCAATCCCCTGCAGGCTTTTGTTGAACCACAAGTTTTTCTTGTTAGGTACAGTCCATCTTTCACTGTTGGTACAACATGTCTGGTCTTGCGCTTGGCCCAATCTAGTAAAGCTATATAATGTGTTTAACGTTCAAAAAAGGACTCACAGCATCTCTCAAACTACACATTCAGCGAAAAAAATTAACGATTGACTAATGGGAGCCAAGGCTGCCAATCATGCCCACCACCCAGACCTCAGCTTGTTGAATTATCACATGATTATGTACAAACGAAGCCAACACAAGGTAACCCACTTGTAAGAAAGCGTCCCCAAGAAGTGTTGTTAACATACAGATAAACCAGTTCCATGGCCTTCCAGGCATGCCCATCTCCAAATTAACCACACAGATTTCTGTCACATGGGCTTGCTTCCCACCTAACCATGCAAAGGTGGCCTCATCAACCGGACTGTCTTCGGCTCTGTGATTATATATTCATCCAACTCTCATTGCCAACTTGTAACACAGCAACAGCATTCAGTTTCCTACTATCTCAAAGTCTCTCCTCTTTTGTTTTACAATCTTCTCCCTGTTTTTATCAGTAACAGGATGATCAGTGCTAAGAAGCTCATCAAATTGGCAAGGAAATGGCGGAAACTGGCTGCTATTAAGCGAAAAAGGATCACAGCGTCCGAGACAACCCTGGGACATGTTGGCACAAATAGTTGCAGCACATCATCAATGGTTGAGAAAGGTCATTTTGCGGTGTATAGTGCTGATCAGAGACGCTTTGTTCTTCCTTTGGAATATCTAAAGAATGAAATTGTGAGAGAGCTATTCTCTCTGGCTGTAGAAGAATTTGGGTTACCAAGCAATGGGCCTCTCACGTTGCCTTGTGATGGAGCCTTTATGGAATATGTAATTTCTTTGATCAAAGGACATGCAAATAAAGATATGAAGGAAGCATTGCTCACGTCCATTTCCAGTTGTCGCTGCTCATCACCATCGTATCTTCATCAACAAACAACAAATCAACAATTACTAATCGGCAGCTTCTAGAGCAAAATATGTTTCAATTTTGTAACCGAATGATACTTCTGTACAATTGAGAGGTTTATCTTAAGTCTAATGAAAATTGGGGGTTTTATTTTTATTTAATTGTCTATTTGTCTTTGTTGGCATTATCAAAAACAAGCCAAGCCAATTATTGCAAATAAATTCGGAATTAGCTTCTATCATGGGAAATTTTAATTTTTACTCTAATAACAAGAATTATTATTCAAAATTATTTGTTATAGAAAAATTATAAATCAAATATAATTTAAGTAAAATAATAATAAATTTAGTAACCTATTTATCTAAGATAAATTTTTTTAAAAACAAAAGTACATCTCTAATATCGTGCATGATTTGCAATGTACTGACAAAAAAAAAAGAATATAATAAATTTTTAAGAATTTTGCTTTACATTATTGCATATTCCTCAATAAAAATTTGTTAAAACTTACATAAAACATAGTCAGTGAAAGTTAATATCACTATGGCAAAGCCTTGTTTTGATCATACACTAGAATGGATGCTGAAACGACTCTCATGCCCCGTCTCAGGCCCCTCCGCCACTGCACTGGCAAGTGGAGACCCATTGGATGCCGATGCTGCAAAGGATTGCTGGAGGAGAAAAAAAAAAGGAACGCTGAAACTGCCAAATTGCCAAGGCAGACTCGTGAGGAAAAAGAATTTCCAACACTAAAGAGCCAACTCAACACCCTTAGTGAAATTGGGTTGTCATTGCATTGAAATCCTGTCAACCAAATTAACAGATCAGCTTCAAATCTATTTCTGTAGGCAGTTCAATTATCCTACTCAGACTAATCTTGCCATCATCCCCTTAATTAAGTTGCTGAGTTGCAGGGCATGTTACAGACGGCATGATTATGATGCCTTTGGAAATGGACGCTTCTAGCATTATCATAGCTACGGAAATGGACGCTTCTAGCTGTCCAGCTAGACGCCTGTGGTCTGCATCTTGGGGCCTTTTGGTCAGGGCATTCCAATTGTTATACAGCAAAAGGGGTCTGATTTAGATAATGATTCAAAAGCGCGAAACAGTCTGCAGATAGACATTGAATCTAACCTCTTTCTCAGTTTCAAAAATTATAAACTCCAACAAAGCAGGATTTGTTGATCCACATATTTTTCCCGTCAGGTATGATATCCAAATTATGTGGGACAGACGTGCCTAGTTCTCCGTCAATTCTTCCGGATGGCATCGTCATAGGTTGTCCTGAAATAGTTACAAGCATATTAGAGCCCACTGTCCACAGAAGACTAAGGACCCCGTGGTTTCATTTCACCCACTTGGAAAAAGAAGGGGGTCTCGATTGCCTGATAGAGCCAAAGCATGGTCACGACCCAAAACCTGAAGATCAGATAAGCATGAACCCACCACATAGGGTACCCACATCCGAGAGTGTCTCAGTTACCTCCATATCAGTGAACCACTTCTACTGCTTTAAGACATATCTATCTCCTAATCAATCCGCCACAGCTACATATCACATAGCTTTGCTTATAAGAATCCCAGCATTTGGCATCTTCAATAAAGTAGCTGTCCCTTGCTTTATGAATATATATACTCAATCCACCCCCGTTGCTTTTATCAGCATAGAACAACAGTTTTCGGTATCCACATATCCAAATTGTCTCTTCCTCCCTTACTCCCTCTAATTTTCTCCCCAAGTTTTCTAACAGTATCAAGATGATCAGTGCTAAGAAGCTTATCAAATTGGCAAGGAAATGGCAGAAACTGGCTGCCATTAGGCAAAAAAGGATCACATCGTGCAGGACGAACACTGGTGGTGTCGGCACACATAGTTGCAGCACATCATCAACGGTTGAGAAGGGTCATTTTGTTGTGTATAGTGCTGATCAGAAACGCTTCGTGCTCCCATTGGAATATCTCGAGAACGAAATTGTCAAGGAGCTATTCGCTTTGGCGGAAGAAGAATTTGGACTACCAAGCAGTGGTCCTCTAACGTTGCCTTGTGATGCAGCCTTTATGGAATATGTAATTACTTTGATCAGAGGGCGACCAACTAAAGATGTGGAGAAAGCACTGCTCACCTCCATAGCTAGCAGCAGCTGCTTGTCTTCTTCATATGTTCATCAACAATCAACAACCCAACAATTCTTAATCTGCAGCTTCTAGAGCAAAATGTTTCAATTTTGTAATCAATCGAGCAGCTCTACTGTATATCTAAGGCAATTAAGGAAAGAGAAAATTTTTTTCTTTATATTTATTTGATTTGATTTTTTTTCTTCTTGGAAATTAATTCCTTGCTAGTTTTCTACCTTACAAATAGCACATAAGAACTAATTACTTGCAAAGATAAGCTTGGAATTACTAATCTTCTCCAGAATATTTAATTAATTTGATGAAGCTTAAGTCTAAGTTTTTTATTTTTCTATAAATAATTGCACCCTCTCTGACCTTGGTACCCTAATGATAGTCCAATCTAATATTTTACTAGTCAAAAGTCCCACTTTTGACCTATTTTAATATTAATTAAAATTTTCTAAATACTACTAATAATTTTCAAAAGCTTTAACTAAAGTGCTTTTCAAATACTTCTTTTTTGAAAAATCAAATGGATAAACTATTCAACACATCAAAAATTAAAAAAGTTTGACCTTTCATATTAAAAAGAAAAAGTTTGACCTTACTCACTACTATATTAGATAACAGTAGACCCCCTTTTAGGAATTTTTGCTGCTAATAAAACCCTTTTTTTATCATTAAATATTGAGGACAGTGTGGCCTTAGGATTTGGGGGAGAATAGGAGCAAGCTTAATGTGTTGAAATTTCTTAACATAATGTTTTTAAATTTTATAAATTATTTAAGAAAATTTAAATAAAATTTTATTCTTTTATCGCATTCAATTGAGTCATTGTACTTTTATTTTGAATCAAATAAACTTTTATCATTAACAATTAACTAATTATCATTAATCAAAATAATATCCATCATTTTATACCTATGTGACGTTAACTTAGAAGATAAAAAAATGTGATTATATCATCACATTGTATCACCATCCATAATGACATGTCAATATGTCATGTCTATACCATATGGCATAAAAAATAAGTGACATTTTGACTAACGATAATTAGTCAATTCTTAATCATAAAACTTTTTTCTATCAAAAATAAAAATATAAAAAAAGTAATTGATCATAATAAAACAATAAAATTTTATTCAAATTTTTCAGAATAATTAAGAAATTTTTTTAAATATTATGTCAATTTTTTCTCTTTTAAAGGGTCTTATGTCTTTTCTTTCAATTTTCAAAACCAAAACAAGTCAAATAATTAAATTATTATAACATGCAATAAAAATAACTGGCATAAAGTTACTACCGAACCAACAATTTAAATACATAGCTTCTTTATTGTATTTTAGTTTGTAAAAATTATTTTTAGAAATATTAAATTAAAATGAAGGTACAAAGACGAATTTATTGGACTCCCTTGCTCCACCAGGGCCCTCTACGGTCTGATATCATGAGGGCTTGTAAACAAGGCATACTAATTTTCAGGAGAAAGGGATGTGATTTACATTATGATTCAAAAGTAAGCATGCAATGTGCAGATAGACATCGAATCTAACCTCCACATTTCTGTTTTCGAAAAAGCAGAAACGCCATGAACACAAGCTTCTTTTGAACCACATGCTTTCCTTGTCAGGTAAATGTGGGGACTTGCTTAACATGTTTTGTCTTGAACATGCCAAGCCAGCTTCGTGATTTGACCTGAAATAGTTAATATAATTTTCACAGAAAGCTCTGATGGGTCAATTTCGATGAGCTTGGGTAGGACCTGTTAGCTTCAAATTGACTCACACCGGGCAAAAGATGTGTCCGATGATGATTGCCTTAAAAGAGCAAGGCATGGCCACTTTCCTAGACCTCCCCTTTTCCTTGATTCATCACATAATAATGGAAACATGAACCTTATCATTGCTCTAGACGAACCCACTTCCAAAATTAGTCCCTCATCACATCCACAAATCTCTTAGTTTGGTCTCCACTACTCCCTACATTAGGCATCTTCATTGAAGTGCATGTCCCTGGATAATGAATATATGTATGTATGTATATATATATATAAAAGTTACCCACTCTCTTTGCTTCATCCCATGCAGCAATACATTAGCATATCAGTCTCCAAAGAGCTAAAATTCTCTTCATTCTTTTCCTTTCTTAAATTAATCCCCATAGCATCAAGATGATCAGCACAAAGAAGCTTTTCAAGTTGGCCAGGAAATGGCAAATTATGGCTACGATTAGACAAAAAAGGATCACATCGCCAAGGCCCTCGGGAGTCGACGTTAACACCAATAATTGCAGCACATCATCACCAATTGTCGAGAAGGGTCACTTTGTTGTGTATGGTGCAGATCAGATACAATTCGTGCTTCCTTTGGAATATCTAAGGAGCAGAATTGTTACAGAGCTATTCGCATTGGCGGAAGAAGAATTTGGACTACCAAGCGACGGCCCTCTTACGTTGCCTTGTGATGCAGCCTTTATGGAATATGTAATCGTTTTGATCAAAAAGCATGCGACTGAAGCTGTGGTGAAAGCATTGCTGATGACCTTATCTGACACTCGCTGCTCATCCTCATCGTCAAATCTAATTCAACAAGCAACATACCAACACCAACTAGTCTGCAGCTTCTAAAGCAAATTTTGTTTTCATTTTGTAAACGGACCAAAACTCCGTACAATTTACAGCATATAATGAAAGTATTTCAGTATTTTTCTTTGTAATTTTTTTCTAAAAAGTAGAAATTTTATTAATTTGAAACACTTGCACATCATAATAAGTCTTAAAGTTTGTAGATAAAAGACTTTTAGTGACATAAGAAATCAAACTACGAAGAGAACAAGAGTAATACACAACTGCTCCAAATGACAAAAGCATTATCAAGGGGAAATAGAGAGAAGAAAAGTAGTACACAACTACTCCAAACCATAAAAACATTATTAAGGTGAAATCGGGTGCCTGAGCAAACAAAGTTCTATCCCATTCATCAAATAACCAATAAATCTTAATTTAGATCCATCTGCCTATTCATCAAATTACCAACTAATTCTAAACCTGATGCCAAACCATACATCAAAACCACACCAAAGACAAAAAGAGATCCAAAAACACAACAAAGGAAATTATACCAAAACCACACAAAAATGAAAAAAAAAAAAAGAAGAAGCCCAAAAACGTAATAAATTACACAAAGAAAACTATAACCCAAATATACTGCCTTGATTGTAAGCAGATTTTGCTCCACCCCAAAGGAAAAACTTGTGGTAGACGTATCAATTTAGGAATCATTCCCTATCTCAAAAGCCTGGGTAGCATTCATGCGTCCATCTTCTAGTAGGAAGCTTAGTTTGTAGTCTTTTCTTTTTTCGTAATTGATTGTCTTCCTCAGGTAACTTTTTCGTAACAGTAACAAATAACAGCACAAACAAATAACAATAATATTAACATAAAAAATTTATTACGTAAAATTATAAAAATAACATCAAATGAGACATCAAATTTACTTCTTTATATCCCATTAAGCTCAAGGTAACTATTGTAATCAGGAGTGGCTTAATAACCTCAAAGGCCTAAAACGAAATATTCAAATAAGTTTTTTTTATTGAAATTAAGAAAAAAGTTTATTAAAATTTTACTCTTCTAGCATTTCTAGATGCAAAATTTCTAATTAAACTTTTATAATCAAATTCTTCTAATATTTCTTTTTCAATTGATAATATCGTCAATCTATTTAATCTTTCTTGAAATATTATTGATTTTAAATAAAATTTTATTAATTTTAATTTTGAAAAACTTCTTTCTCTTTAAAAGCAACACTTACTGAAATTTTTAATATTATTTTAAAAGCAATAAATGCATTTGGAAAAGAATTGAGTCTTCTTATCTAACTAAGTATATATGCACTTGGAAAAGAATTGAGTTGAGCATTAATTCCTCATAGTTATTATGAGACTTACTACTGAGATTTATGGTAATAACATAATCATCCATTTTCTTCTAATTATATCAATGGTTAAGTAACAAGAAAAGGAACAAATCCAACTATCCAGATTGCTTGCCGGTAATCTAAATGTGTACAGAAGAGAAATGTGGTGGATATTTATTGATTATGACCATTCAATATTGCATGACGCAGATAGAAGGATAGTTAATATGGATATTGGGTTGTCCTCTCACAGCCTGCCTGTCAAAAACATGTCTTGATAATAATACTTTGATTGATAAAGGCTCTTGAGGCTATTTGAGGACTCAATAACAACTTGGGAGCTGAAACTCTGTCGGTTGCTAAAGAGAAACTAAAGCATGCGCCCAACACCGGCCCTCTCTGATCCTCACTGAACCATCACATGCAAATGTACAAACGACTCCCTACACGAGGTAACCCACAAGTAAAGCTGGTGTCTGATTGTCCTCCTGAGTTTTGAATATATAAGTGAACCACCGCAAAAGCTTTCTCCACAGCTCAACAATCAGATTCGAGTGTTTTCATCAAGAAATAAACATCTCTCTTAATTTCTTCAAGTTCACCATCTTAACATATACATCATGATTAGTCCCAAGAAACTCATCGAGATGGCAAGGAACTGGCAGAGGGTAGCTGCTCTTGGAAGGAAAAGAATTTCATTACCAAGAGCCAACAGAGTGGCAAATGTTAACAACAGTAATGATTTTTCATCACAAGTGGCGGGCAAGGGTCACTTCGTAGTTTACACAGCTGATGAAAGGCGGTTTGTTTTCCCTATTGCGTATCTCAACAATTACATCATCCAAGAACTTTTCAAGATGTCTGAGGAAGAATTTGGACTGCCAAGCGATGGCCCTATCACATTGCCATGTGATGCAGCCTTCATGGGGTATGCAGTTTCTCTGATTCAACGGCGAGTTGATAGAGATACGCAGCAATCTCTGCTTCTCTCTATGGGTGGTTGTAGATGCTCATTATCTTATTCTCTAAATCAAACTAGCCAGCAGATACCAGTCTGTGGTTTCTGAATCGATTGGCAAAAAGATTTTGTAAATATCACAAGCAGAATTAGCTTAATAATACGTTATACAAAGTGAAAGTTTCCAACTATACTTTGATTCCTTCATGGGGTTGTTGAGTTTTCCATATCCAGTAAGGTCATTTTATTCCCCATTTCCTGAAAATATACAAATGCATGGGGCCTTTTAATGCTCTACTTTGTTGACAATAACATAAAGATAATCAGATCATGCAACAGATAACCACAATAAATAAAATACTAGTATCAAATGAGTGTGAATTACTTGACTGTGACAAATAAGATCAAGTCACAGGCCTTTATCCTTTAATCTTCGGACTAATTCAAGAAGAATTGATGGGAAATTTGCAAGCTTTGTCCTTGATTTTATCTTTCAAATCATAAGATTTCCTTCTGGGTATATATGAATTCCCTTTCTCATTATGATGTTGAGGGAATTAAGGTCAAACCCTTTTCTCTCAAGTCATGATTTTCTTTTTTTTTTTTATTAGCTCCCCCTACAAGCTTGGAATGATATAAGACCAACCAAATTCCATGGCTTCATATTATACATAATGCTAATCAATCTTATATGTGATTATCACAGGTGCAACTAAATTTTTTTTGTTAAAATTATAATCAGCCACTTGTCATTGAAGAAACTATCTAGTGAGCTGGTCGGCATATATAAAAATGGAGTATAATAATAGGGTCAAACTAAGCCGGCAGCACCATATAACTGATTGTTAATTGTGTGAACTTTTCTTGACTTTTGCGAATAAGCAACTAGAAATATTTGTACTTCTGCCTTCGTTGCCGACATTTTTATTTGCAGGAGATTGACTGTGTGATTTTTCAATCTTAATTGTGTTTCTTATTGTAAAAGAAAGACATCAAATGCGCTTCCTAGATATTGCCAAGCAAGTTGATGAGGATATGCAAACCCCTCCACATATCTTCTACCTGTCATTCTTCTTAATGGGAAATCGTTGAGAATCTCAAACCTTTCAGATGTTGCTACTATATATACTTTAATTTCGGGTTCATACTCCAAAAACCAAGTCTAATACTCAATGGGAAAAATAAGTTGAACAGATAAAACTTTGAATAGTTGAAGTCAATGAATCAGATAAACTTTTGATTGGATTAACAGATACAGAAATAGTTTCCAGCATAACCCTTTTTTTTTTTCTTTTTTCTGATCGAATTTTCAAAGCCCTCATAGGTAATCTTGATGAACATATGGTGCTGTTTGTGAACAAAGACACGTCCCAGAAGCGAAGTTTGGTTGCGTGGGAACAAGACGGTTTTCTCTTTTTCCTACTTCCGCAGCAAGCCTAATTTGAATTCAACCTTACTTTTTTCTGTTTAATTTCTACAGGTAGACGAGAAAATTTTAATTGAAGAACTAAAAATTCAATGCTGTTCACTTCGAGCTTTTTGAGAATTGTTGGAGTATTTAATTCAGGTTTTGACTCAACCAACATCGTGCTTCACATATAATTTTTTCTTGCATAAAACATTCTTCCCTATCTCTAATTAAGTTGTTAACAACATGGGAGTGGGTCAAAATTTCTTCTCTGCATCAGCATCTTATCTGATACGATGTTTCATCCCTGGCTCATTTCATATTTTATTATGGGAGACAAGGTACAAAAGAATCAACACAGAGCAGAATTCTCTATTTCAAATGGGAAAAAAAAAACAGAAAAAATGGTCATATAATCAAGCCTATGCAAAGCCATTTTACTTGCATTTTATATACAGTTAGTGTACGTTGGAGGCATGGGGGATACGAAACAGCCGAGCGGTTGAACAAGCAAATTCAAACGTATAAACCCTTGTGATTAACTTAATATTAACATGTCAAACGTGAAAATTGAGCGATTGGATTTGGCATACCTTCCAACTGTGTTACAGCCACTTTTCTTAGATTACAAAACAGGGGATTTTGACAAGTTACTGCATAAATTCTGTTTCCTTAGTAAAAACTGTAGAGATATTGTGAACATATTGACTAGAAGTCTAAAATTACCATAATTTCTATCTGATAGGTTAGCAGATTTGAAAGCCAGATCAGCAGGATAGGTAGCATATCCAGTTGCTAAGCTATCCTAGCCTGTGAAAGGAAACAAAGATTTTTTTTTTCTTGGTCTTAGATAGGGAGCTCCTGAGCATCTTTGTTGTATATAGACAGTAACACCCGGAGAACTATGGCACTGTCTTTCTCATGCTTTTTCCATCTTAACCTTGCATGTTCATTTTGCTTTACAGAACAAGTTAGTTCTTGTTTTCCACTTATTTAATGTGGCTCCTTTTTCATAATCCTTATCCAAGGACTAATTCCAAGTCAAATCCATAAAAAAGGACATAAAAGGAATTTCCATGTTATTGTTAAATGAGTGTGTAATACTTGACCAAAAACATTTTGGTGGGCTACTTTCACTGACCGGCAGTGCTAAAGAATCAGTTACAAAAGGGCCATTGGGTTGAAAACAGAGAAAAGAAACCAAGTGTTCCTGCCTAGCTGCTACAATCATTTTCCTGGCTTGAATACTGGTAGAATTGTAGGAGTTTAAGCACCTTTTCTAAACTCAACTTGTCCCTCATTGTCCCATATATTAAATTCCATTTATACCTCTTCAAGACCAAACCATATAGCACTATCCATGCATTTGTATCCAAGGCCTCTATATATAGGCTATTTTTAAGTGCATACTTTGTGGGAGAACAGGAGGGAAACCGCAGAGGAGAATAGGTTGGTTTCCAAGGAGAGACAAGAGCTTGATTTAAGAAAGAAAAATGGGTGAAGTTAATGAAATTGGCTCCACGCCTATGACACCAAGACCGGCCTCCGTGACACCAACACCGCCAATATCAGCTCCTCCTTCGCAGTTTCACTCTCCCTCTCTTTCTCGATCACCACTTCTTTCCTCAGCTGATCACATACAACCTGCGAGCAAAACCCCGAAAAACTCGACCCCCAGGATTCGAACCCCACGCTTTATTACTCCTTTGGGAAGCCCAATCAGGAGGGCTCTTCAGCTGACTAGGCTTGACCCTCATGATGCTTGGCTTCCAATCACTGAGTCAAGAAATGGGAACGCCTACTACGCTGCGTTTCATACTCTCTGTTCAGGAATTGGAATTCAAGCCCTTGTGCTCCCTGTCGCCTTCACAATTCTTGGGTGGTAGGTGATCGATAACACTTGTTCATGGCGCAACAGGTTGATTTTTGTTTTATTAGCAGCGCAACTGAAAGGTTTTTTTTTTTTTCCTTGTTTCCAGGACTTGGGGAATCATAAACTTGACTGTAGCCTTCATATGGCAGCTTTACACCTTATACTTATTAGTTCAACTTCATGAATCTACTGAAACTGGTATGCGTTACAGCAGATACCTGCAGCTTTGCAGCGCAACTTTTGGTAAGGCTCAAACCAATCAGAAAACTTATTAAACTAAATGAAACTGAAATCAGTCAGGCCTTATAACATTCTCAATTGCCTTCCAAACTGCCCTTTGATTAGCCAATGTAACACTGCTGGCCTTTCATGTGCAAAACAAGCAAAATTGATCAAGTTAAATCAGATGAAGATATTTTGATTCATGTTAATATTGTTATCCATGAATTCAGGTGAGAAGTTAGCAAAGTGGCTGGCTCTGTTCCCCATCACGTACCTATCAGGAGGAACATGCGTGGCCTTGATCATCATTGGGGGCTCAACTTCAAAGATATTCTTCGATATTGTATGCGGTGGAACATGCAACGCTCACCCACCAACCTCCGTGGAGTGGTACTTGATATTCACTTCTGCTGCAGTTCTTCTATCTCAGCTCCCTAACTTGAACTCAATCGCCGGTGTGTCCCTCATCGGTGCAATCACAGCTATTGGGTACTGCACCCTTATATGGATTATTTCAGTTGTTGAGGGAAGACTGCCAGGAGTATCATACAATCCAGTCAAAGGAAGTACTGATGTTATTAGGATTTTCGATGTTCTTAATGCACTGGGGATCATAGCTTTTGCTTTCAGAGGCCACAATCTCATACTTGAGATTCAGGTAACTGCTCGAAGAACTCAGATCATTGCTTAGACAAACAAAATTGATATAGAGTTCATATCAAGTAAATAATTTTAAAGACATGACTTGTTTCTATTGAGAAATTTTTTAAAAGCATCTGTCTTCATAGTCTAATGTAATTATGATGAAGAAAAAAATGCTAGTACTTTGCTTAATTCGGCAACTATCTTTATCAGCTGCCTAGCCAAAAGAAACTGGGTGACTTTCCATCTTGTTAAATTTTCTATTTTGAAAGTGTGACATTTCCTTCTAGATGTTGCCCATGTGAATTAAAACCTTGTAGGCTTTCCTTTTATCTTTCTTCTAATCCGGAATACAGCCTAACAATTAGCAAGTCTTTCCATGCTTGATAGTTCATATAACCATGAATTTCTACGCTAAGGAAATTAAATATGCTAACGAAACTTGACCATCGCAGAGGAAAAAAATAGTGAAGTTGACCATTGACTTCTGATCATAAAATTACAAGTGATCCTGTGAAACTATAAGCCGAATATGTTGACACTCAACAATCAAGAAAAGAGTTTGTCTCGTTCCTATGAAAGAGAGTGGAAATTAGATAAAAAATATATATATTGTGATTACCCTTTGACCAACAGCTAGTAAAAATGGCAAAATTTCTGAAGCAAATATTGTTTGGTTGCAGGCAACCATGCCCTCAGACGAGAAGCATCCATCGCGGGTGCCCATGTGGAAGGGAGTCAAGGTTTCAAACACACTTGTTGCATTGTGCTTATTCCCTCTTGCAATTGCAGGCTATTGGGCATATGGTCAACTGGTACTATTTTTTCTCTTCCAAAAATCTTTTCACTTACAATTATCTCTGCTACAAATCAAATGTTTTCTCTGAACCAACAAATTTCTAAAATTGTTTTCCCTGTTGGCAGATACCAAAAGATGGGGGCATGCTGACAGCCTTGTATGCATTCCACGGCCAGGACACCTCCCAATTCATCCTAGGATTAACAAGTTTATTCGTCATAATTAATGCCGTCAGCTCATTCCAAAT